TCCTTTAAGGGTTCTTAGTAGGGAATGGGAGGAAATGGGTTTTTGGGACGACTTTTGGGGGACCTTAAGGGACTATCATGGGGATCCATTCCCCCATTACTAAGAACCAGGGCTTAGAGGAAGGGAATACTTCCAGCCCTAGCTAAGGCAGTGAGTGGGACGCGAACCGCAATGTGAAGGATTTGTTTTTAGGTTTCTTCGAAGACGACTCCGAAGCTAGAATCACATCAAGATGTGTCAAGCCTGAACCGGTGTTTCTATCTGTGGACGGGCAAGCTGCTTGCGCCCTGCAGTCTCTCTCTCTCTCTCTCTCTCTCGACTGGCGATCTGCACAGCTACACATCACTCACTTTGAATGGAAGTTGCATGCCTGTGGGAGCGAAATGCTTCAATGCCCGCGTATTGTTATGCAAAACCCGTCTTCGTGTGATCGAAACGTTTCGGTCTCGTGTTTTAGTTGGAGGGATCGCGCACTGCGATTTTCATGTGTACGCCGCACTAAAGACGCCTAGCAGCTTGGCAGAGTCTCGGAGGCCTTTTGATGGGTCTGGAAGGCTCTGGGTGCCTTTGTTATGCAATTCCCAAATTACTTGTGCTCAGCCGTTTCATCTGATTTCCTACTTTTGGGGGCCCAGGGGCATTGGTTGAAGCCATGGCTTCTCTCGCGGCCTTGGGTGGAGCGTGCTTGGCTGGCATTGGCTGCGGAGCAGGTGTCGTCAAGCTGAAGGCGACAGCTGTCGCGCATCTTGGACGAAAGCACATGACTTAGTAGCTGAGTAGGTATCCTTTAACTTTTTTGGGCTTATATAATCCTACCATAATTGAAAGGTTAACCCTTTTTGGGCTAGGGTACTCAGCCCCTAAGTGGACGAAAGCACAGGAAAGCGGCGGCATCAGTAAGAAACAGCTGCATTACTCGTTCCAAAACCGTGTTTACATGACATTGTCCCACTAGGATAGCCATATGTTCTCAAGAGCCACCTCAAGAAGCGTAGGTAGCATCACGTAGCCCGTAAGAGCTGGACTGTTGTGGAACTCATCAGAAGGACAGGGTTCAAACTGGCATCGTTTGCTTACATGGGCCCGAGGTCAACTGCCACAACACAGGCTTCGGGGGCTAGTCCTGCACCAGTGGCGAGTGAAGCAGGTGACAAGAAGCGCATCGCTCAGTGTAACTGTGGACAGCTTCGTGTGACAGTCACTGGACCTGACCCAGAGAGGATCAGCCTTTGCCACTGCAACTTGTGCCAGAAGCAGTCTGGCAATATCTTTGCGGTCCAAGCTCGCTTCCCAAAAGAACAGGTGGCAATCGAAGGAAAGTCGACATCTTGGAAGCTTCCGAAAGACGAAGCCGATCAGATCGCGTACCGGAACTGCGTCAGTCTCGGAGGCGGTGCCGTCTTCCATTTCTGCCCGGAGTCTGGGTCCTTGTTGGATACCATTTTGCATTTCTGTTAGAATAGAACCCCAATAAGGATCAAAAAATGATCATGTTGAATATGTTCCCCAAAAGGGAACCAGGAGTGTGGTTCAACGGTTTGGTACACGGCCGATGCGGATGCTGCACGAATTGGCATAAAGGTCGGATGCTTCACGGACCCTTCCTTCCCGCCGCCCAAGCTGTCGGGCTTCGAGTCTTATATGCATCCCTGGGCGTTGAATACTCCCGCTCTGCAGGTGCAACACATCCCATAAGAAGGTTCTTGTGCCTGCACGTTCTACTGACAGAGTGCAGCTTAGTTTTAAGCATGTGGCTTGAAGTGCTGCTCGTGGCTGTGTAAGACAAAAAGCGGCTGCTGATTGCTGCGGGGCCCAATGCACCCGAGACTCCAATATGCCGTCATAAGTCTTATTGGGGGTCCTACGTTAATTTCAGGTATATTCTTCAATTGAGGGGATATTGGAGTGTCTGGGCACTAGATTTCTGAGACACCGTCTGTCGCTGTGGAAAGCCCTGGAGATTCAGCTGGAAGGGCACAAAGCAACGATATGATATACCACAGTGCAGAGTAGTTTCTTGGATTGCTTCTCACGGGCTGCCGGGTTGGACGCTTCTGCACTTTAGCCAAAGTCATAAAAGAGCAAAGCCTGAAGGTTGCAGCCTAGCTGGGCCTAAAGACACAACTCCCCCGGGGAAGCAGGAGAACAAGAAGCGCAAAAAATAAAGCAGCTGCCCAAGAACACGCATCCAAGAATATCCCGGCCAAATCTTAAGACCGAAGGCGCTGTGAATTTTCAAACCTCTTTTGCCCTTGACTCTCATGTTTGGAAGCCGGGGCAAATCCCTGTACTCCTTCGACTATGGAAGCTACTCTGTGCCAGTTTCCCGGTTCAGATCTACCATTACTGAAAAGAAACCTTAGGTTTCATCTTTTCCAGTATGAAACCCAACACATACCCTCCAAGAGTCTCAGCTTACTCTCTTTTTTTGTGAGCTTCCAAAGCCCGTCCATAAACATGGCGCCCGTCCATACTATGGCAAGGTCTGCCATGTACACGGACGAGGCTGGCTCGCTTGTGGGGTTCATGCAGCTAGTCCCTGTCACATTTGTAGGTATAATGCGCCCCAAACCACATTGTAATTAGTCAGGCCGCTATAAGATGCTCCGCTGTTCAAATGCTCCCACGACAGCTTTCGTTTGGGGATGGAGGTAGCGCCAAGTCCCAAAATGGTCCGTGGTCATAGCGAAGTCAAAGAGATCTCTTCGTTCATCATTGCCAAGGCAAGACCCCCTGCGCAGAATCTGCATTTTCTCACGAGACGAAGGCGCTAGCCAAGGCTGAATCCTCGAAACCGATCAGAGGAACGACAGCAAACCACTTGTGTGAAGAAAAGATCGCTATCACGAAGCAACGTACGGAGTGACTCGTCAAAAGAGAGACGCCCCTCAGTCATGCTGCAGATGAGGGCAAGAAGTTGATGAGGAGGAGCGAGAGAAAGATGATGCTGACGATGATGATGGCAATCATGATGGCTAGGATGACGAAGATGGCTAGTTCCAGTAGTGACTTGGGTGGGGTCGTTGTGATGTGGTAGCCCCAAGGTTGGGCAGTACGACTGGTTCCTCGAGCAGATCGGCAAGCAGCTGCCCTAGCATTTTTTGGCACTGGTCGATTTCCAGAGCCGTCGTCAGGACGCTGTTGGGTAGGTAGGTGCCAATGCTTGTCGTGCGGACTGTGCTGTAGGTTGTCATGGGAGTCAGTCCTTTGTGACGGCGCTCTCGTCTTGCTCAGCGCACCCAAAAACGGCCTTCAGCCCCAGGGTTTAGAGTTCAGAGCTTAATTACATAGGGCCAAACAACCTACCTACCTTGAAGTATAGGGTTCCTTATTGTTTAGGGCTCAAATAGGGGCCGAACAACCTACCTACCTTTAAGTATAGGGTTCCTTACTATGTCCTGATGTAAGCTCCCTGCTGTGCCAAGGCCCACGGCCCTCGCCTTCTCGGGCGAACACCCAGACAGCATCTACGCCGCCACCGAGCACCGAGCTCAGAGAAGCTAAAATCCAAATGCAGAGGCAAGACAGAATCTCATAGCTTAAACTAGGGGTCTATATAAGTCGATACTATTTTTTTGACGGGGCAACTCCTCATTATATATATATATATATGATGGTAGACAGAAGTGCACCCTCGAAACCTTATTCCAATTATTCATATTACGGAAGCAGCTCTGCAGGTCTGGCGTGGTAGCATCCTTGATGATGCAGGACCTGCGGGGACTCCAGCGGTCCTCCCGGTTGGGCTTCGTATGTTCGGTGTATCTCCCTGGTTCCTTATGAGGGAATGGGGGAATGGGTTGTTACGACTACTTTTGGGGGAACCTTGAGGGACTATCATGGGGATCCATTCCCCCATTCCCTACTAAGAACCAGGGAGTTTAAGCCCGGCAACCCTCGTTATCCAAAAGCCTTCAACCCCTCTCCCCTAAACCTTTCGACCCTGACGGGCCCGAACATAAAGACGTAATTCAAATCCTGAAACCTTACACCCCATCCTGCAGCCCTGACACAGGCGAGGCCTTCGACCTTTAAGCCACTGATTCCCAAGACCCCCCCCCCCCCGGTTTACGCCTTCAATTTAGGGTTTAGGTTTTAGGGTTTAGGGTTTAGGGTTTAACCCCTAAGCCGTCAACACCTGCAACCCTGAGAGCCTTCAGAGAACCTGTCAGACCTGCCACTTACCCCTCTGCAACTCCTCCTCAACCTTTTCAGCCTTCGACCCTTAAAGCCTTCAGAGCCCTCCGCACCCGGCGAACTCTCAGGCAGCTCAGACCCTTAAAGCCCCCTTGAGTTTACAAGATTGAACCCTTGAGCCCTGGACCCCCAAATTCCCCGAAACCTGCAACCCCGAAAGCTTACAGCCCTAACGCCTTCAAGCCCTGAAGCCAGACCGAACGCTTCAACCCTAAACCCCGAACCCCAAGGCCCCCACAAAGCCCCTGCAACCTCAAAGCCGCCGCGAGGATGGCCGCATCCAGTGGAGAAGAGCAGCTTCGGCTTCAAGAAAGGGGTCGTTCCTTCCTTCCTTTAAGGGCTCCCTTTGCTAAGGTGTCCCTTTAAGGGGTAAACTGCAGGATTTTGGGGTGTCTTGCAGGTTGCAGGGCTGGTTTACCAGGCATGAGTGCTTCTTATTAAATATCATATAAGGTCTTGAGGATCTTGCGTCTGAAATAGGGTCTTGGACAGGTTAGAGCCACGGTTTTGGGGTACATTGGGTTCAGGGTTTTGGGCTTAGGGCTCTGTGAAGGAACCTGCAAGGTCTTCAGGCCCCGATATGGGTAGTTGTCTAAATTAGGGTCCCGTTTATTTGGGGTCCTTTTTTATAAAGGGTGCCGTACTATATTGGGGACCCACAAAGGGACCCTATTTTAGAGAACTACCCATATGCCGCTTGTACTACTGTAAGAGACCGCGCGGTCGGTTATTGGAGCGAAGGATCCCAAGAGCCTGGAACCCAATAGAGTTCGGGCCTACTGAGACAAGCCAATACCCCGGAAGCATGGATCATTTTTTTGGAGGCATCATAAAGGCATCATGAAAATTTAAAAACGAGAGCCCTATTATACTTTAAGGGTATTAAAGGTACGTTCCTCGAGTCAGGGTTGTTGGGGGCTCTAGGGGGGGTTAGACACCAAACACCTCCCTTCCGACACTTGTAAGAACCCTTATCGCTCCCTTCTCCATCCCTGAGAGAGCCCTTTCAGAGCCATCCCAGATAGCATCGTCGGATCCCATTCGCCTTCTGCGAACCGCGGGGCGGGGCCTCGTCAGCGCCACGGCCGGGGCCCTACTGCCTGAATCCCCCAGATTCCGCAAACGTCGAAGCACAAAAAAAAACTGTGAATTCTTGCAAAAGGGTTTATATTTAGGTTACCATAATCAGGAAACCATATATCCTTTACTACATTTACTATAGATCCCCATTATGGTATCTTCAATAACAAGCCCCTAACAAGAACCCGGAGAAGCCTCAAGACTGGGCACATTCCCTTGGAGACCTCAGGGTTCCTTGTTGCAGTGACGCGAACGCGAAACAGCTTTCCCCAACTCTTGAGGCCCCGGTTTTAGGGTTTTAGAGTTTTTGGAGTTTAGGGTTTTGGGGTCTTAGGGTCTCAGGGTTTTAGGGTTTAGGGTTTTTAGGGTGTAGGAAGCACATGGCATGTGAAGTTCACCCAGGAGGCCGGCTTGGTCCAAGCCTGGAAAGGTGCGATGCCGGGTTCTGACTCTCCGGGGGGTCCCTTCACAAGGTATTCCCGTTTTTCAGAGTCTCTTAATCGTTGAGTAGGTTCCGTTTAACCTTTTTGGGCTTATACAATCCTACCACAATTGAAAGGTTAACCGTTTTTGGGCTAGGGTACTCAGCCCTTAAGAGGAGCACGCACAGGGAAGGTTGCCAGAAGGGCGGCAATTCATTCCTGCTCTTCTGAGACAAAAAAATTGATGCTTCGTCTGTGGGATTTCTGCTCCCGTCCGGTCAGCAAGACCCTTTAAACCCTAAACACTAAACCCTAAACTCTAAACCCTAAACTCTAAACCCTAAACCCTATACCGTAAATCCTAAACCCTAAACCGAAACTTGGGAAGGCACTGGCGACCTCAGCTGGCAGAGAGAGTACGGCGAGAAGGCGCCCAGCTAAGCCGCCTTGCTTTGAAGGTCCTGAGGCTTCGAAAGCAGCGGTTTAGGGTTTAGGGTTGATAGCCTAATATAGTACCCTAAATAGTAGGATCCTTGTTTTAAGGACCCCCAAAACTAAGGTACCCTAAATAGTAGGATCCTTACTATAAGGACCCCAAAATGGGGTACCCTAAATAGTAGGGTCCTTATTATAAGGACCCCCAAAATAAGGTACCCTAAATAGTAGGACCCTTATTATGAGGCTTCCAAAGCAGCTTGATGGTAGGGTGACAAGTAGGACAACTGTACTTTGTAACCTATATATTATTAGTTGTGCTCTATACTTACTAAGTCCCATGATCCTTCAAGTGAGTATCTTGAATTCTGGTATGAGCGTGCCTGCACAAGAAGTGAGGCCTCAAGTTCGCGCTGAAGAGTTTCTCTCTTAAGCAAGTCACCAGACCCTAAACCTACCCCCCAACCCGTGAACCTCGCAACTGGCGCGATCCAGGCGATCCATCCGCGCCTTCAACCTTCAAGTGTGAAGTAGCCCGAAAACTGAATCCCCCTAAAACCC